AGTTTATTAGTTATATGGAATTACAGAGTTTTCTGCTATAAGCATAGGTTTCCCATTCTATAGATTGCTCCTGTGCCCTACCATCACCAATATGAAATTCACCTATATCCTCCTATATATAGTAGCTAGAGGTTGGAACCGGCTTTATTTTTACAAACCGGTTTTATTGATATCGTGAAAATTGAAATCGGTTATAAACCGATTATATATTAAAACCTGTTAAAACCGATAAACCGGTTTAATTAAACCGGTTAAATCGATTTAACCGGTTTTAATAATAATAATTAATAAGCGAAGACGATTAACGAATAATAATTTTTTTTTTATTCACTTGCATTGTTAATTAAACAAATAAAACTCTCTTTTTTAAAGCTATTATTTAATTGTTATTCCTAGTATTAATACTTATTATATTACTTAATACTTATTATTAACGCTATTATTTACTATTATTTATTATTACTATTTAGTATTTACTACTATCTACTAAAAATGTTAAATTGTTAATATTATTATTAATTGAAATTATTGAATTATTCGAATTTTAAATATTAAATGTAAGCAAAATTATTAAAAATTTCATAAAAAGATTTCCTTTTTTAACCTTCTTGTGGTGGAAACATCTCAAAATGGGTGTTATTACGTTTTAAAAATAAAACTTTGTTCACTAAATCAGGTGCTAAGCGTGTTCTTTTTGCCGAAATATGGTTACCGGCATCCGAAAACAATCTTTTGCTAGGCACTGAAGTCGCTGGAATTGAAAGATATTTCCTTGCAAGTTGCGCTAAGGTATTAAAACTATCCCTATGATTTAACCACCACATTAAAGGGTCATCCTTGACCCTAATATCCTGTAACTTTACATAACGTGACACTTCATCTTTCTCTTCTGTGTTTGTTTGTGTGAAATTTCCTTCTATATCGCTAAACAGATTATCATTATCATTATTGTTCTCCTCAAGACTCCTATGTTCAATGTCATCTGGAACACGAAGGTTTATTTTCAGCTCATCGTATAACTTTTTTACCAATTGATTCGCCCTATCTCGTTCACTATTAGTTGACCACTTGAAATGTTTAAATCTGGGATCAAGAAATGTAGCAATCAAAGCAGTATCTGTTGGAATAGCCCATAATTCATCTAATGACAAGTATATTGCAACTCTGACTTTTTCAAGCAAATTTGTTGTATTAACCGGTGGTAAATCTTCCACCTTATTTGTATCTTCCGCAACACTTTCAGTCCGTGTTCGTTTCCTGCTAGATCTCTGTTGAGTTCGTCCCCTTCCTCGACCACGAGCACTCATCCTTTGATGAAATTTGCGGTGCGCATATTGCCATTGTTGACGGGTGCCAGCATCAGGTATATCATCATCGGTTATTTCGTCATCATCATTTTCTTCATATCCTTCACCATAGACGATATTCAGATAGGTGTCAACTGTTTCATTTTTGTCTGATCTTGGAGCAAATTTTTTTTTAAGTGATTCCATGTATGGGTGAACGAGATTAAGTTTTGGATAGTTGGCACCACACAAATGCCTAGTTACTATTTCGATTGGTTCTAACAACTTTACAACTTCTTGCAAAAATCTACAATGTAAATAAATAAAAATGATAATTGATTAATAAATGAAAATATATATATGTTTTTTCTTGTTTAAACTTTAAACCAATAGAACTAATTAAATAATAAAAAAAAACATTACTCCTTTTCTCCAACCTATAAGCACAGACGTTCTAATTTTTCGCCTTCTTTTTGGGAGGCACGATCCGATTTGGAAAGTAATGAAGTTGAAACGAATCTTATTGAATTATGTAATTCCAAGAGACGTTTCCAAGCTAGATAGGTGGAGTTCCACCTCGTTTTTACTTCCGTTAAAAGGTCAAGAGGACTTTGGACATCTCCTTCAGCTTGATTGGATTCATTTTGCGCTTTTTGCGCTTTATGTAAACGTTGAGCTTGCTTAGAAAGTCGGAAAAAAGCCTGCAAACTTTTAACATGACGATGTATGGCTTTACATTGCTTCAATCCTTCTTGAACTGATAATTGTAACGTGTGCGCGGCACAAGGTTGACGTTCTACACTGCTAATATGATTTGTATTTAACAATCGTATTCACTTGACCATATTAGCTCCATTGTCCGTGGCAATAGTAAAAACCATTGTCTCAAGTCGCCAAACACCAATTATTCTAAATAACTCTTCGCTAATCACCTCTCCTGTATGTGGGTATGGAAGATGATCACAAGAAAGAAGGGCTTCTCAAAACTCAAAATCGGAGGTCAGCCAAGTTGCCGTAACGCCTAAGTAGCCATAACGAGATTTTGCTGTCCATAGATCAGTAGTAAGATGGATATTCGTTACACTACTACGAAGTAAGGCGCTAAGCTGATTGTAGCTCCATTCATATGCTTCGTGGATTAGTCCCTTGGCGGTTTTATCACATGGGATACGAAATCCTGGCTCGCATGCGTAAATAAATTCACGAAAAAATCTGTTTTGTAAAATGTAAAGAGGCAAAACAAAATGAATAATAAATTGAATTAATTTTCTTGCTTATAACTCTTGTCTTTTGGCTGGACATGGTTTTGATGAGCTATAATAATCGGTAACTTGTGTTTGATGACTTTGATCCCATTTTGGCTAATAAGTAAATCAATTAAGTGAATTAGTTAATAGTTACGTTATAAAATACAAAATAAAATAAAAATTTCGATCATAGTCATCATACCTCTCTATATTCATCTAAATAATTGGTAAAATTATCCTTGGTTATGCCATGTTTGTCTCGTAAGTGGGCTATCATACTTGATGTGTTTCCACCTTTACGAGTATATGCATAGGGCTTCCTATAAGATCCAGAAAGGTCGTATTCACATATTTTACAATACACAAGGTCAGAATCATTTTTATCTATATGAAAAAAAAAAGAGGTGTGACTTTTGTTATTACGATCAGATACAATGTTAGCTTTTCTCTTTTTTCGTGTTTTAGATGATTGTGTGGAGTGTGTGGTGTGAGAATCTTCGTCAGAGTCTGCATCTGAAGGATAAAACATGGAAGCTGACATTGTCACATTGGTTATTTAGTTTTTTTTTTAAGAGAAATGATTAGAGAAGAACTGATGAGAAGATTATCGATATTTAGTTATTTAAATGAGATCTGTACTACATAGTACAAATCTATTATAATAAACCGGATAAATCGGTTATATTAAAACCGGTTTATCATTTTTAATAAATTTCCAACCCAGTTATAAATCTGAAACGATTAAATCTGATTATAAATCCGATATCGATATCCGGTTCCAACCTCTAATAGTAGCTATCAGGTTATATAGGATCATTATTATTCTATGGTTTCAGTATGTGCTTTCACTACCCTCTAAACAAAAAGGAGAATTATTTATATATTTATACATTTTAATATTATTATATACCTTCCAAATTACCCTATTTCCTTTTCTAATAGAAATTGACCATTGTTCATTATGTTTTGAGAATTTTCCTTCCTTTTAAATCATATGTATTACCTTCTATTTGCTGAGTTGGAGTTCATTCATATGCAATACGTTAATGTGCTAGTATTTTCTTTTTTAGGTCTTGTTTCTTGATCCCTTTTGTGCAATATGGTTGCCAAATAATTTTAATTTTATTTTGATTTTAATTAATTAATTATTTTTTTATTTATTTATTTATATATTTCTATACACTGGTAAAAAAATGATTTATCCTACACATATCTTACACATATTGGGTACTTAAAATGTAGAAAATCATACACAAATAATACACATATCATATATATATTTTGTACTAATATATATATCATACATATATCAGGTACCTGATAGGTATACTATATATATAAGTACCCGATATGTGTATGATATGTGTATTATTTGTGTATGATTTTCTACATTTTAAGTACCCAATATGTGTAAGATATGTGTAGGATATGTGTAGGATAGACCATTTTTTTACCAGTGATAATTTTATTTTTAATTTATTTTATAATATTATTTTATTATTTTATTATAAAAGAATAATATAATTTAATTAATGGAAAGTTTTAATATTTTATAAGAATATAAAAAAAAAGGATGGCTAACATATTTTTTTGATTATAAATATTATATTACTTTTTTAAAGAAAAATTTTATAGAATTTCAGAATAATGCTTATATTTAAAACTTTTTTTGTATTTTAATATGGTTATATATTTATATTTTAATTGCTTTATTTTATTTATCCAAATAAAAAAAAAAATATTAACTTTTCTATTATATAAATTTTTTTACATCATATAATAATACTGAAATTTAAATATTTAAATTCTAAAAATAAAATTTTAGAATAAAAATTACTTTTATATAATTCAAATTTTTTTTCTAAAAATTGGAAATAATATTTATAATCAATATAATATTTAGTAAAAAATAATATTGCACAGATAATTTAATATATTAAAAAAATAAACTAAAAAAAAATACTAAAAATACTAATAAATTTATATATTTTTCTGCTTTTAAATTATGCAAACTAATAGACTAAAAATCTATTATACTAAATTAGTTTCCTATTTGTATTACTCTTTCTTATTTTTTATTACTTAAAATCTAAACAATATTAAAATAACTGTATCTGGATATGATAAAAATTTAAAATAAAATATTTTGGTTAATATTGCATTTATAAAAATGATATGGTGAATAATGAATTATAGCTAACTTTAGTATTAATATATTTATATTTTATATTTTATTATTTCTTAATATATTGGATTATATATTAAAATTCAATAATAATTATACTTATTTGGTATATCTGCAGACCAGATGGAATGATTTTTTTCTAAATAATAATAATTCAATAAACAAAGTTTTTTTTATTTATTTACACATTAAGAATTCTTTTAAGATTTATTTATTAGTAATTGAAGCATTAAAATCAACTATATACTTTTTTAGTAATTTATATTGGCAGCAAGGTTTTAAACAATATAAGTAATAAATCATAATATGATGTAACCTGTATTTTTTTCATTATTGTACATTTAGTACATTTTAGTACAATTAGTAAAGTACACACCAGTTTTATCAAGTAAATCGTAAATAATTAAAACAAAACCAAATTTGAAAATATCTAACCCAAATTTACTCATTTGATAATAGAAAAATCACTTCTAACCTTTGACTTGTCCCTCACAAAAAACACACAATAATAAAAATAGAAACGATATTAATGTAATGTTTAATTGTGAATGTGCATTGTGAAGGTATGTGTCGAAATTAAATGATGTATTAGTGGAAAAAAATTTCCAGTTAATAAAAAAAAAAAATAGAATACTATAAAATTTTATATTATCGACCTAGAGGTGGTATGGTGCGGTTACGTTCAACAAACTCAATCCTTCTACAAATAAAAATAATAATTATTATTATAAGTAAAAAATAGATTTTATTTTATTTTCTAAGAGATATTATACTTACGCATACCACGCGCCTGTATTTCGAATAGGAAGTTAAGTATTAGAAGTAAGTTTATAGTCCTATCTCAGTTATATAATTTAAAAGCATTTTGATAAATATAAACTAACCTCCAAGCAATGTCAAAAAGATTCCGAGACCGTTAGTTGGCGTTATAGTTAAATTAAATATCACAACCGCCAAAATAATAGATAAAACTTGTTTAACGTTACCAGCCACGGTCATTGTCAAAGCTGATGTCTTTTTATTAGCTGTGAAACTCACAACATTTAGAAAAAATGCAATGACTCCATTTGTAACAAGGGCGATAACTAAAGAAGTTGTCATTTCAGTCCGACTAAATGCACGTACCCTGTGCAATTCACCGGTTACATAAGCATAGATTACAGTCTGAACAAAAGCTAAAGGCGACATACGCAATAATAAATCTAGGGGATGAAGCTTAAGACGACCAACTTGAACTCGATTTGTAACGACGGTTTTCAAAGCGGCTAATATCGTGCCAAGGACTGTTAAAAAGAAACCTACAAGAACAGACAATCTTCAACAATATAGAACAGAGGATTTAATATAGAAGAATATTGTAAATTTATTTCATTTACCCATTTTTGTAAAATAATAATCGCCTACTGTTGCAAATACAACCCCCAAAACAACCTATGAACAAGAACGACATTATATTTTAAAATTTAAACTAAAATATTAGAGCATTTAAAATTTAACTTACCGGAAGCAAAGAGATATATGTCATAGTTGAAAAGTTCTTTTTTAAGAAGAGAATAGAGAGAATGATGGTAAAAATTGGTGTCATCGCACGTACCACTTGATGAAACTAAAAAATGGGTAGGTCAATTAATAAGATCTAAAATGTCATAAATACATGAAAACATTTTTTGAATATAAAATAACTTACTGGTACAGTAACCAAATGTCTTATTAATTGTTAGGAACGATATAATAGAAGAACATATTGATAAGTCATTTATAAATTGATCAATCAGTTTGGAATAACCCTTTCATATATAATATCATTAAACTATCTCATCTCTAATATAACTTTGAAACCCGCTAATATTTGTAAAGGCCATTATAAATTAAAAGTAGAGTAACTTACAGTGATACATTACTAATAGCAATGTTGATAGTATATAAAACTGAAAACAGAAGCATCACCATACTTTCACGTTCATTCAAACGTGATGGTGTGAATATTCCCAGCCAATAGAACGAATAGGACCCAATCGCACCACACAAAGCGTGCACTCCCGTTAATGTCCATGGAAATGGGAAATCAAATAACTGCATAACAGCTTTATTATATAATGTCAGAGCAAGATTGAGGAAAAAATAAAGGGAAAGCCACACGTAGGATGCGTCAAATACATTTAGGTCCGCCATTTGGATCGGCAATATTGAACGACTATATTGACTGCTCATCGGATTTGAGTCAAACGGAAATTGCAAAGTCAGACCAGATGTGCCTGAGAAAATTGGGTCGGATTAGAATTGCTTGGAATAGTGTGCGCTTCTGTAAAAAGAGTAAATTAACTTTGTTTATTAGCGGCGATGACTCTTCCAGAGAGACTTTTGTTCGATATAAACGAAACCAATTGGATCAGACATTCAAATAACAAATAGTAATAGCTATTATTAGAACCACCAAAAATAAAATTTGTTGTAATTATTACACTAGGCACGGATATGCCCTACTCAAAATTAGTTAGATATAAACAAATCAATGTACCCTGACGGAGATCATTACTGCTTTTACGTGATTATCATATGTACTCATTTTTGACCGGAATCAGCCTGGCATTAGGAAATTATACATATAACAATTAAATTGCCAAATTAAATGTATAAGTTTTATTAAAATTAAACTAAATAAAATAAATATAATGTTGTAACTTACCATCTGTAATATAATTAATTATTTAAATAAAGAATTTAGTTATTTGAATATTTAAAAATTTTATTATATATATATAATTAAAATCTTAAAGGATACTATAATAACTTAAAAATTTAAATTAAATTTTAATAACTTTATATTAAAATTTTTTTTTTTTTGGATTCAGCACATTCGGATACTTTATTAAATTAAAAATTTAAATTCATAATGTATACATATTAGAGTAAAAAAAGGAACTAATCTAATATTATTAAACACCAAACTATTTGCTAACTCATAATAAAGCAACTATATACAGTGCTTGGAAATAACCTGGTCATTTGACCATTTTTCGAATTAGGAGTTATTTGGTCAAATGACATCCAATCATTTAGCATTTGGCATTTAAGTTATTTGCAAAATGACAAATGCCAAATAATTGGATATCATTTGACTGTTATTTGCCTATTATATTAGGTAAATCTGGCTTGAAGTGCCGAATAAGTGATTTATCCTGATGACATATATTAGGTAATATTTTAGGAGGGTGGGGTATCCATAAATCTTAGGTAATATAGGGAGTCACATCTTTTCGCTTCAGAAGTACTTACCATCAAAACCATATGGATAGCTGATCGTCATTGTTGTCATTCGTTTGTTTTTTTGATTTTTTGGGTAAGAATGCAAATACCAATAAATTAATAAATCCCTTTCTTGTCATTTGATCATTTGTTATTAAAATACTTAAAGGTTATTGAACAATTTATAATCACAAATGTTACATTAATTTCATTTCCTGATATAAAACAATAAGGCATTATTGTTTAATCAGTACTTAAATATATTTCGAATTATCGATTTATTAATTAGCATTTTTAATACCTTTTTTCCATTAGATGGCAAATATACAGTATTGGTTTTGAAATATGATTTTATTTGGCAAAGTTTTCTGATTGATCGCCCTAAATGATGGCTACAAAAACGATTATCCACGAAAATAGGTGTTCGCCTCTGATAAACTAACATGACACAACTGATATGTGCCTCACTTTTCAGTTGGTTGAGGTTTAATTTGATTGGCTAGATTTGCTTGCATTTGATTACGCAATACTGATCAGAAACTATTGTAGCCCTAGCCAAATTAGCTAAATATGAAAATAAGCACATTTTATATTTACAAATACAAATTTGCGTCCCGTGTTTTTATTTTTAGTGCGTAATTTAGTAAACAAGGTTTTTCTTCAGTTTTATAAATTTTGGGAGCGAGAATATTTTTGCGAACTTTTGAACATATTATCACTGAAAGATAAAGACTCGTATTTCATTTAAAATGATTAACATGATGGTTCTTCAAATTGGAAGCAATCTGGAAACTTGATTTTTGACGAATTCTCGTTAGAAGAATGAAGAAGCATAGTTTGAACTGGTCACCGAGTGAATATTCTCTACACTTGGACAAAAAATAAATATAAAAATTCAAAAGCAGTTTTACTAGCTGATGATGGTAGGATCTTTACGGTTTGTCAGGTTAAACAGAAAACATCAGGAAACTGAAATCGCTCAATAGGAGTATGTTAGTAGAATCCACATTAAAATGAAATTCTACTTGCTTAAAGACTACATTTTTACTGGTAATGAAGGCGACAAATGGTTCTTTGAAATATCCTTTATGTGCCGATTTTTCACTCCTAATGATGAATTTTTATTTAATTCTACGATCAAACTATTGTAAGATATTCAACATAAATAAATTTTTATTCAATCAGTTTCTGTTTCAGCGATCAGAAATAAAAATGTACCTACCGATTTAGTTAAACTTTTGGAACTATTTAAGCTTTTAATGCAAATCTCATTTTTTTTTCAAATCGACTTCTGCTTTCAGCAATCAGAAACGAAAATGTACCTACCGATTTTGATGAACTTTTAGGCACTATTTAAACTTTTAATGATGTAGGTTTGTTCTGATTTTCATTTTCTAACTTTTTTTAAAGATGTGAATATGATGCAAATCTCATTTTTTTTTCAAATTGACTTCTGCTTTTAGCAATCAGAAACGAAAATAGATCTACCGATTTCGATGAACTTTTGAATACTATTCAGGCTTTAATGATGTGTCAATTTCATTTTTTTTTTCAAATCAACTTCTACTTTCAGCAATCGGAAACGAAAATGTACCTACCGATTTCGATGAACTTTTAAGACTATTTAAGCTTTTAATGATGTAGGTTTGTTCTGATTTTTATTTTTAGTACATCTTTTTTTAACAATGTTAATATGATGCAAATCTCATTTTTTTTTCTACTTTCAACGATCAGAAACGAAAATGTACCTACTAATTTTGATAAACTTTTGAATACTATTCAGACTTTAATGATGTGTCAATTTCATTTTTTTTTTAAATCAACTTCTGCTTTCAGCAATCGGAAACGAAAATATACCTATTAGGACCCCAGATATCTCCAAAACAGGTCATAAGTCACACTTTCGGCAGATTGGCCCATTTTTCAGGGCTCAAAAAATCGTTTTTTGTAAATATCTCGGCATCCAGTGGTCCAATTTTGATGAACTTTTTTTTAAATTGTAGAGCTAAACGAGGGCTACAAAATAAAAAAAAGTTCATTAAAATTGAATTACTGGATGCTGAGATATTTACAAAAAACGATTTTTTGAGTTTCAGCAAAAAGGGGTGTTTTTGGCCAAAAGTCCATTATGACCTTTATATTAGATATCCGGGGTCCTTACCTATTGATTTTGATGAACTTTTAGGCACTATTTAAGCTTTTAATGATGTATGTTCATTCTGATTTTTGTTTCTAACTTTTTTTAAAGATGTGAATATGATGTAAATCTCATTTTTTTTCAAATCAACTTCTGCTTTCAGCAATTGGAAACGAAAATGTACCTACCGATTTTGATGAACTTTTGAACACTATTCAGGCTTTAATGATGTGTTAATTTCATTTTTTTTTTCAAATCAACTTCTGCTTTCAGAAATCAGAAACGAAAATGTACCTACCGATTTCGATAAACTTTTAGGTACCATTTAAGCTTTTAATGATGTAGGTTTGTACCGATTTTCATTTCTAACTTTTTTTAAAGATTTTAATATGACGCAAATCTCATTTTTTTTCAAATCGACTTCTGCTTTCAGCAATCAGAAACAAAAATATACCTACTGATTTCGATGAACTTTTAGGCACTATTTAAGCTTTTAATAATGTAGGTTCATTTTAATTTTTGTTTCTAACTTTTTTTAAAGATGTGAATATGATGCAAATCTCTTTTTTTTTCAAATCAACTTCTGCTTTCAGCAATCAGAAACGAAAATGTACCTACTGATTTCGATGAACTTTTAGATACTATTTAAGCTTTTAATGATGTAGGTTCATTCCGATTTTTATTTCTAACTTTTTTTAAAGATATGAATATGATGCAAATCTCTTTTTTTTCAAATCAACTTCTGCTTTCAGCAATCAGAAACGAAAATGTACCTACTGATTTCGATGAACTTTTAGGTACTATTTAAGCTTTTAATGATGTAAGTTCATTCTGATTTTTATTTCTAACTTTTTTTAATGATGTGAATATGATGCAAATCTCTTTTTTTTCAAATCAACTTCTGCTTTCAGCAATCGGAAATGAAAATGTACCTACCGATTTTGATAAACATAAACTTTTGAACATTATTCAGGCTTTAATAATGTGTCAATTTCATTTTTTCAAATGTACCTGAATTACAACCATATGATTATGTTTGGGATAAGACGGCATGTGGTCTAAAACTTATTATCAAGAATAACAGAAGAGTTATATATGCATCAAATGATCTTTTTATACATCAAAGCATTACCAATTGGACACTATTTTAGCTTTAACAATATACAGTAGGTTTATTCTGATCTTTGTTTCTGACTTTAAATTTTAAAGATATTAATATGATACAAATTTCATTGCTTTCGGCAACCGGAAACGAATATATACTAATTTTTTGCTTATAAAATTAGTAGTATTATTGTATACAATGCAATATACCCATATATTTTTATATTACATTTATATAATCAAACGTGATCATTTTAAATTGTATAAATTGTGTGGGCTATAATTAAGTATTGAATAGTAAATTTTATAAATTCAAATAATTACAAAAAATGTATAATGCAGGCCATAATCAAATATTCAGTGCAGGCTAAATTGGAAAGCAACTGGTCAGCAATCCATCACCAATCTGTCAGCAATCCGTCAGCAATCTGTCATCAATCCGTCAAATACCTAGTTGGCGTTGAATTAAACAAAATAAATCGGTTACTGATCAGACATAAACCAGTCAATAATCGGTTAACAATTAGGTGTATATCTGATACCAATTGGTCATCAGTCGTGTGCCAACAGAACTGCCTGGTTGGTGTCGGATCTTAGCTTAAATTGACAACCAATCAGAAGCCCAACTGGCACCCAGTTGGCATCCGGTTGAGAAAATCAGTTGGCAACTATACACAAATTAGGTACCCGATTTGTGACTGATTGTTGACTGATTTGACACTATTCGACCAGGACCCCGAGCAATATATAAATAGGTAACAAGAGATCAGCACAAATTTACTAATAGCTCTACGCATCTCTTCAGGGCCGGCACTATGTAATGCTGGTCAGAATTATCCAAAAAAGGAAATGATCTACATACTTTTGGGCTCATTCTACGCAAACTCTCTATTGTTACCTTTTCATGTATTGTTCGGGGTCCTATTCGACCTGTGTTGTTTCAGGTCTCTTTTTGTAATTCCTGTAAGCTCGCTGGATAACAGTTGCATAAAAATTTTTAAAGCTATATTGATAGTAGTATTTAGAAATCAAGAATTCCCAAGATTGCTTCATTGAACTTTCTGAGCTTTCTGAAAAAAACTTCATTATAGATTAGAAAGTTTAACCCAGAATAGGCAGATCATGCATAGTACCTTCAGCCAATATTTTACCCGCATAAATATGACAGACAAACAGTTTCACTAAGTGATCAGTGTATGCAAAATAACTCCTAAATTTTATGAAAAAATATATTCATCATGATATTGGACTAACTGAAACCTTATGTTTACTAAATAGCAATATTTATTAATAAGCATTAAAATTTTATATTTATTAAGCAATAAATACTTAATATATTAAATAAGTACTAAATTTTAATATTTATTAACCATTTAATTTATTAAACATTTTATTAGTATTTTAAGTAAATACTCAAATGCATTTTACCAACATACCTTATATTTTATAAGTACCAATAATAAATATTAATAAATTACTTTAACCAACATTGTGATATTAACTGCTTTCTATATTATAGTACATGGTTTAATAAATAATCTATGTTTAGAACTTAGAATATTTCTTCTGACCAGTCATTCAAATGTTAGACAATCATGATTACTGTCCTATTCTTTAATCTTAATCTAGTGCCTTTTTGCTAATTAAAATGATTTATAAATGGTAGTAAGTTATTTTGTTTTGCATACTGAGTCAAGATAAATAATTTGTCTGTATTATTTTTCAAATTGAGAGTTGAAGATTCGTAATTCCACTAAATACATTTTCCAACAATTTCTCATAATGATGAGTTATCAATAAACATGACTTATCTTCAGTCTTATCTTTAAAACATGAGTGATTCCAATGATGCTTTAAATCTTCAGGTTTAAGCTGATATCTATATTTACGCCACCTGCTGAAGTATGTCTTTTCTGGCTCTACATCAGTAATCTTTATCAATTTCTAACAATTAAAGCAAATAGCCATTCTACACTAAGTCTACGATAGTTATATAGAATATCTTTTGACTGGTAATCTTGTCTGAATGATGCGAAAAGGCAGAATACATAGTAAAAGCTTTCTTTTTTCTTCTCAGTAATCAATACTTATAAAGCAACTCTTACACGAATAGCCTATTGCTGAGAAGTTTTATGAGATCTAATGACAGATAAATTATCATATCATTTTTCCACCTCAAAAACCTTTTCAAACGATGTCAGACAAAATCCTAACATCTATTTTTCCAACAGGACTTTTGCCTGACACCGTTGGCCTACATTAGTTTTAATGCTGGTCAAAGTTGTCAGAAAAATGTCCTGTCAGGAAATCGTTTGTTGGAAAATTGTGGTGTAACCTTTTCAAATTGATTAGCATAATAACTATTGTAATTTATAATATATGCTCTAAGATAATGTATATCAAATCTAGAATGATTATTAACTGGCTTAAGCATAATTTTATTATAATCCTTGTCTAAAACAGTGTCAATACACTTATTAAGCCTTGCTCTGTTAATATGAGTCCCTGACATATTTAACAATTTATATTAATTTTACGATTATACAGTAGGCGATCAAAAGTATATGGATACCTTATTTTACGAAATTATGTAGATTACCATATGGTCATATGATATAAATAACACATGATTTTAAATTTAAGATCATAATAAACAAATGCACTTAGTTTTTCAGACTTTCTTTTATTAGTTAATTTTTTATCAAATATGGAATCATTTGCACTAAAATTATCAAAAACATTAAGATTAGGAATCTGGTTTTAAACTTACTGAAAATCTCTGAGCAGACAAACCTAATTTTTATTATAAATTAGAATAAATATAAAATATAATACGTAAAATTAAAAAAAAAAGTTAAATAGTGTAGTTATAAAAACAACTATTTACCTACTTTCTAGCATACTTTACTATCATTTTAACTTGAAAAAAATAATAAAGAATGCACAAAAAANACTTTCTAGCATACTTTACTATCATTTTAACTTGAAAAAAATAATAAAGAATGCACAAAAAAAATATTTCTTCAAGAATATTATAAGAAAATTAATCAATATGATGCAAGTAATTACTGCCATAAATTAAATTATTAGCGTCTATATTTACAGTTTAACCTCGATATACTGATAGTTTATATACTGATAATTGACATATACTGATAAACATTCTTTGTCCCATTTCATAATTAATAAAAAAACTTCATTATACCGATATTATATATTGTTTCACAATATAACATATACTGATGCAATTTCTTTGTCCTTTAATAAGTAATATATAGTAGTATATATCGATAATCCAAGTTACATCAGCATATAATACTAACTTTTTTTGCTCAACGCGTCATGTTTTAACTCATAGCAATATCTCAACAACAAAGAAAAAGGAAGTCTGTTCAAAATACTTCCAAATCAAATAAAAGAATAGTTTTAACACATGCATAAAAACATCAACTCTGTTTAGACTTTTAAAAAATACCACGATCTACTCAAGAGAAACTTGCAGCTTTATATAAAATTAAACAAAATACTGTTTCAGATATTTTTTTAAAAAAAGACAAGTGGTTACTCATAAATCCAGACTCAGAAGATGCAAATAAACAAAAGGAGAGGCCTATTTATTTTCCTCAAGTAGAAGAAGCTCTTTTATTATGGATAACAAATGTTCTTGCTGCAGAACTCACCATTAACACTGATATTTTACATGAAAAAGCAAAATATTTTGCACAATAATTTGAAATCTATAATTTTTCAGTTTCTAATGGTTGGATCAATAAGTTTAAAAAGCGCCATAATTTAAAAGAATATATTAAGTAGGTGAAGCAAAAAGTGCACCATTGGAAACTTTAGATAAAGAAAGAAGTATTTTGTGTGAAATAATCAAAGATTATGACTTAAATGATGTTTTTAATTGTGATGAGACTGGTAAATTATATATTTTTTTTCAAAAGACTTTTATTTTCTATATTTATAATTTTGTTTATTTTAGGATTGTATTGGAATCTTGAACTATCAAAAACATTGGCATAAGGACCTCTTTTTGGAACAAAGAAATCTAAAAAGCGGATTACTCTGCTTTTTACATGCAATGCTACTGGTACTGAAAAATTAAAGCCATTGTTTATTCATAAATACCAGAATCTGCGAGTATTAAATGGGAAAAAAAGAAGAATTACCAATAAGCTATTACTAGAATTCAACTGCATGGATGCAAGTTTCCATATGAAATGATTATCTTAAAAAATTGGATATGCAAATGCGATTACAAAATCACAATATCTTTTTGCTTGTTGATAATGCTTCCATACATATTATAAATGAAGAAATAAATTTAACCAATATGGTTATTTACTTTTTGCTACCAAATATTACATCTCATCTACAGCCTTGTAATGCAGAAATTATTAATTCTTTTAAGGCTAGTATTTTTATTAATTCGCAAAGGTCTTTTTTTACAAAATTAAATTTAATTTATGGTAAATTTCAATAATTTAGGCACAGTACCGGAAATTACTTGTTAGAAATAGAATTGAAGCATATGAAATTTCACAAGAACTTAACAAAGAGCCTATTCCTATAAATATTCATGATTCTATTAATTTCAGCATAAATGCTTGGAATTCTGTAAGTCAACAAACTATTGTTAATTGTTGGAAACATGCAGGGATTTTACTAATAAGTGAAACAGACGAAATTGATGAAATTGAGGATCAAGCATTTCAGGATGAAATGGAATTACAAGATTTAATTAACAAACTACCATTTGATGATCCTATGGATGCAGATGAGTTTCTTTGTATTGATGATTGTTTAAAAAGTAATGAAGGGTTAACTGATGATGAAATTGTATCTATGGTAAAGTCAAATAATAATAATGAACCAGAAGCAGATCCAAATGAAGTGCCTCCGGTAGTAATTTCTGTAACAAAAGCTTTAGGTTATTTGGATGATCTTGTATTATTTTTTAAACATTCATCGGATGTTTGTATTAATTCAAATGAATCAAATGTATTGCAGAAGTTAAGACATCAAGTATTGAAATCACATATTAATAACTCAAAACAGACTACGTTAGATAGTTTTTTTTAAACTCTTTAGTATAGTTTTTGAACACTATACAGTATATACCAATACTAATATACTAATACACTAATATACTAATACATTAATATACTGTAATAAATAAAACAATTTTTCTAAAATATTTTCTAAAATGTTTCATATGATAAATTAGGTATGAAATTTTTTATACCGATACTAATCTATGTACTATAATAAATATCATTATATAAAATTTTCATAATGTACCGATAATTTGATATACCGATATTTTTTTCCAAAAACAGTTGTATCGGTATGTAATTCAATAAATAAAGATGAAATAAATATGTTTACTTTATGTTTTAGTTTTATTTTATATTAAATGTATGAGAATTTTTTTAATTTGAGAGGTGTCCGTATACTTTTGATCGCCTACTGTAAGTATATTATAATAAAATATCAGATTCATTTTTTTGTGCTATATCGAAGAAAAAAACTCAATACATGAATAGATCTAATTATTTCTCAAACACCGCCTAATTAATGCTGAGGGGGGGATTCATATTCATTATAATACCATTCCTGTATTATTTTATATAAATCCTCATGGAGATTGGTGGGTATATCCGTTCCATTGCTAGACATGATTACCATATCCAGTTTGATATGTTGTTTGATCGATCATACTTATCCAATTTCTATCAGTTTCATTGCAAAGATGACATGTGGCAACATATTTGTCTGAAACTCGTATATAACTTGCTTGTGGGATCTTATCTATAAAATTTCCGAGTGCCAATTCTGTATATTGGTAATAAAAGCCTAATCTATCCGGAGCTAAATATACAGCAAAATCTGCCTCTGGGATACCACGTAATATTATTTTTCGTACCATTTCGTTTATTAGGTACGAGCTATAATTCAATTTTTACATGGAAGGCGTGGTTTATATAGATTTCGGGTGAATGCGTGACAGGCTATTTGCATATGCCCAGTAAAAAGTCCTGTACTGAATTCATATTAGGTTTGTATTGAATTTATACATGAGCCCTTTTGGTATTAAAAATTGGACCATAAATGGGATAAAATTAAAATAAATATGGCCAAATTTTATACCGAATGGGCTCATTTCATAATTGGCCTATATTTGGTACAAGAACTTTTTACTGGACATGAAACATTTTACTCATACTACATACTGTATTACATGCGTGGAGAATATGTGATCGCCCTTTATTTGATTTTCCCTGACGTCATGATTTGGTTAGTCAATATAACGGCACTTCCTTGACAGAAAATTTCTGATTTAGCGGAGATCAAAGAAAAAATACTCTTCATTTTATTTTATACTGTTAGCGATCGCACAACATCTATTTAATGATTTTCATTAATTGATCCAATTTGACAGTACGAGATGTACCATATACTAGTAAGTAGGGAGGACTAGCAACCAGAAAATCTCATTTTAATTCTGTTAGATTCTGATAAACAAGATCATTGTGTGGCATAAAATTTCTATATAAAATCATGAAAAAATATTCTTCTAACGTAATAATCATAATCTTAATACATAATGAATCTCCAACTCATCTTGATCTTCATCTTTTCTATCCTCTTCGTTACCATTTACTCTGACGAACTGGTTCCTCTCAAACAAAGCACACCTAATCCGGTTGTCATCAAGAAAGGTGGAGACAATAAATTACATATAGATGTTTCATGGGAAGGACTTGCAATAGGAGAGAAAGGTAAGAATGATATAATAAGTAAAACAGTCACCTATTTCTTATTTACCGAGTATTCTTCACACAAAAAAAAGACAAAGTCGTTACCAAACTTACGTGTTTCAGTACTGCTGTAACCGTCAAAGACTCTCCTCAGGTAAATTGCCATATTTCCTTTTTTTATCACAAAAATTGCTTTTTTTTTTATTAAAAAATTTGTTTTCTAGAATCATTTATATGGTGATGGTAAGGCCACCTACGAAGTAACCGTCAATGAGAAAGGAAAACTCGTACATTGTAGATCAGGATTACTTATTATTATTGGTTGGAAAGTCTGGTTTTCTTTCCAGACTTGATTAGACATTACCAATATTCTTTCACGTTATTATTACTCGTCGCTAGTTTGACGGTTATTTTATCGCATTAAATTAATTATAGCATTGCAAATAACTTTCCCGATACATACATACTGTACCTGTGTTAAAACAATAAATTTTTAGCATTTTTACTGCAACGTAAATATACAAGTTTGAAAAATATATGGTTCTGGAAAATTGTATTTTGTATATTTTGAGACTAATACATACTTCTTGGCAGAAAATTGCAAAATTCCCGTCATCAATAGTATAAATTTCGTGCGGTTCAGCTCTCTGGGAAGGTTCAGAGAAAAGATGAGGAGCCACTCTATGACCCAAACTCATCGATTCCTGGGACGCCATTAAGGTGAAAAAAAAGTCCATGTTAACCTATTTATAATTACGGTGCCATGGTAAGGGTTGAATTGATAAGCCGGGCAAGAAAATAAGTTATCATACCATATCATATGATAATCGTGAAGATTCTTCTCACTATCAACCAATAGAAGCAGGATCTATCGATTAATATTCGTTATATGTAATACACTTTGCTTATCATTTTATATGGTATAATAAATAAGCGATTAGTAAAAAAATAATTTTCTCTGGTTATTATTACATCATGGGGAATATGTGTAAAAAAATAAATGTGAAAATAAATCGGGAGTTTTACTATAGCTTGTGATACATGCTATGTCATATGATAACCGTGAAGACTCCAACCAATAGTAGGATATATACTATGATGCGGGTTCGGAAAAAGAAACAGCCTAATGAAAGGCTCGGCAAGAAATTTACCGAATATCTTCTGCGCATTTTAGGTGATCGACCACATGATTAGAGCTCCGAACAGGTCAGCCAAATTCAGGTAACCTGACCTGACCTGACCTGAAATTCAGGTCAGGTATGAGATTTTTAAAAAAAATTCAGGTCAGGTATGAAG